CTTGTCCAGCCATGCTGAGGCCACGTCCCACATACAGCAACTAGAAGGATGTGCAACTATGACATACAACTATCTACTGGGGCTTTGGGGGGGGGGGGGAGAAGTTACTACAATTTGCCATTTTTCTCTAAATAGAGGAATGATGTTTTTAAAACAAGAGCTATATTAATTAAAAATATAATGATTTGGACTAACTTTCAGAACTCTTAACGAAAACCCAATTTCTGGTTTTTTCCTTATTCATCTAGGAACTGATTCCATCCCTACCCCACCCTCTACAAGACAAAACAGGAACATCATCTTGGGGCTGTATCTACAGTACGAGGACACAGGCAGTCTGCACAGTAGTTAGCTGGCAGGGGCTCTAGGGGAGGTGGACTTGGCTCAAAACCCTAACTCCCTATCTATCTACCTATCTATCTATCTATCTATCTATCTATCTATCTATCTATCTATCTATATTTATTTTTTTTGTGAGGAAGATCAGCCCTGAGCTAACATCCATGCTAATCTTCCTCTTTTTGCTGAGGAAGACCGGCCCTGAGCTAACATCTATCGCCAGTCCTCCTCATTTTTCTCCCCAAAGCCCCAGTAGATAGTTGTATGTCATAGCTGCACATCTTTCTAGTTGCCGTATGTGGGACACTGCCTCAGCATGGCTGGAGAAGCGGTGCGTTGATGCGCGCCCGGGATCTGAACCCGGGCCGCCAGTAGCGGAGCGCGTGCACTTAACCGCTAAGCCACGGGGCCGGCCCCCTAACTCCCCATTTAACAGCCATGTGACCACAGACATGTCCCTTTACCTAGGCCTCACTTTAACGGTTCCTAGATGGCCCTGGAGATGGGACACCACACAACAACTAAATGTGGTAGTTCTGTTGTTTCTTTATCTATGCTAGGAGAACATAAATCAAGTACCTACAGCTCATCAGGTGGATTAAATGAAGGTAATGCAGACAAAGCACTTGACATAGCGCTTAACACATCCTGAGAGAGTATTACACTCAACAGTCATTATCAGCAAACTTACTGGAGACTTATGTCTTAGGCATGGAATTAAGAGCAGAGAGAGAAATTTTCTAAGTCTACTAACTGAAGTTCTAAAATATTTTTTCTAAACCAAATCCAGGGTTCGATTTGGTTTGAGTCCCAGGTTTTAAATAAAACCAAATATGTTTTCTCCAATATTACTCCTGTTAAATATAATAAATGTCTAATTGCTATATTAGTTAAAACCATTTTTAACTAATAAAATATAGCATTAGATAGTATTAAGAAAACAGAAAAAACTTGTAACTCTAATCTATTACAATTGTAATAATGTCGATATATTTTTCACTCTTTTTCAAATAAATTTTTACATAATTGAATTCTAGAACACATAAAAATACATATTCTGTATCCTTCTTTCTAAAATTATATTCCATCATTAGCATTTTCCATGTTGCTACATTAGTCTTTACAAGCACTGTTCAGGGCAGCAAAATATTCTGTTGAGTAGTCGTACTATAAATTATTTTCCCTGTTATTAGACATTTAAGCTAATACCAATGTACCAGCTATACTTTCTCTACGGGACAGTAATATTATTTCAAAAATTACTGACTTAATAGGTGAAAAAATGATAACTTATTGCTTTATTTTGCTTTCTCTGGTGTGTGTGTGACTACTGGTGAGACTGAACATTTTTCTAATCAGAGATTCCATAAATATTTCATTGTTTTCTTCTAGTTTTTCCATGTTTCAATTTAAATTTAATTCCTCAATCTAACAGGGATTAATTTTGTGTGCAAGTGAAATGAGGGTGTAACTGTAAACAAATTTCCTCCCTCCTCCACTCATCAGTTAGTCCAGCACAACACTGATTTGTGATATGTTTAATTCCTCTATTAACTAGGATCTTTTTCTGGGCTATTCTGTCTTGTCTGTTATGCTAGCATCAGAGATTAAATATTAGAGTTTTAAAATATATTTTACATTCTGGAAGAGTTACCCCTCCTTCACTATGTTCTTTTTAGAGAACTTAAAAAATTCCTATCAGTTTTTTCCCAGATGACTTTTATAATGTTTCCATGCAGTTGGAAAAACTATTATGACATTTATAAGCATCACATTAAAGTTATAAACCAATGTATGAAGAAGTAATATTTATAATATTTATTTTTCTCAACCATTAATTCAAGCAATTCTATTAGTTAAAAAATTTACTTCTAAAAATTACTAAAGTGACATGATCAGCTCCTTAATTTTTAATTGAAACACAATCATAAGATTCATTTATCCTTTCTACATTGAATCAATCTTCTTCTCTCCTGCTCTCTGATTTATTGCTGTTCTTCAAGAGTCTCTAAAGGTAATTTCTACCCTTTCCTTTTTGAATAAGGATCCTCACTGATAAATAGCTGCATTACTCCTGTAGAAACTATCCTCTTGCAAAAGTAAGACTGATTACCCACTCACTTGCATCCACTAAACATTTATCTGTGCCATGTGCCAGACACTGGGGATACATATAGTACAAAACAGACATCTGTCTCTGTCCTCATGGAAATTTACAGTCTCACACACTCTATTAGTAGTAGAAATTATTTACAATGATTAAAAAAAAAAGATAAGCCTGGACATTTCGGTGCATTTTCTTTTTTATTTAATTAATTAATTTATTTTATTGATTGATGGATTGATTGATTTTTTGTGAGGAAGATTAGCCCTGAGCTAACATCTGCCAATCCTCCTCTTTTTGCTGAGGAAGACTGGCCCTGGGCTAACATCTGTGCCCATCTTCCTCCACTTTATATGGGACACCACCACAGCATGGCTTGACAAGCAGTGCGTTGGTGCACACGCGGAATCCAAAGCCCGAGCCACAGCAGCGGAGCGCGTGCACTTAACTGCTACGCCACCAGGCCAGCCCCTGGTGCATTTTCTTTTCATGAAAGGGCTAAATGAAGAACGAACTTACTGCATCACAGAGGACTTCACTGTTTATAGGTAAGATGTGTTCAATTCGCACAAATGGTAAGAGAGAAGAGAGGATCTCTCTCAGCTCTTCGATGTCCAAGTCTCGTCTTTTCACACCTCTTTTGTTCACACTATGAGCAGTGCCACTCAGTAAGTTTGGCTCTATGAGATAGAAAATGAGAAATCTCCAAACAAATCCAAATTTTCAGAGAAAGGCTTTCTTTTTTCTCTAGTACACTTTCACTAACACTCTTTATACTTAAGTACATCTGCTTTAAAAATGGTTACAAATAAATTATTTTTATGTTGTAAGAAGTTTACTTAATAGAGATGTTCTTGGACAAAAAAAAGCATGGTGTCAACTGTACAGTAACATTCTTTTATGATTGTTCTGCTCTAAATAAAAGAATAAAGGATTCTTTTCCATATACTAACTCAAAGGAGAAAAGACGACAATCTATTAAAATCTAGTTTGACCAAGGGCTTTTTCTTAATCTGTCTCACTTTTGTGACCAGTTTTTAGTCTGATAAGGGCATTGCAGGGCAAATGTTATTTCTGGTCACCATACTTTATCAGTATGCTCGTTAGGCTACCATACGTTTAACAGCAATTTAACAAGATATTAATCACTGGGTATCTAAAGCAGCAAAACCTAATGTGTACTCTATTTAAGATTTTTATGATAGTCTCCTAAAGTTCCATAATATGGGAACGTTACTGCATAAAAGTGAACCCTTCGATCTCTGACATGTAATATATTTCCATTGTCCAACGCAGAGAACAAAGGTTTTCTTCACTGGGTGTTAGTGAAAGGGGAAGACGTGAAGTACATATATGTTTGTGATATTGAGGTGGGAAGAAAAATTAAACGAATTTTGGGAATCTTGAATCATGTCTTTAACCTAGAAGGCTGTATTTTTTTCCCTAAAAAAATAAGATCTTTATCATTCACAAATATAAATGCTGGATTTTTTGCAAACACTCTATAGAAAAACTGGTATTTCCCTTAAATCACGTGATAGATAGGTAGATAAAGAGATTGTTTTTGAGAAGCTACGCTTTTTCTGGAGTTTTTCAAAATAAAATTGTTGCAAGTGCGTGAAAAAGGTTTTTTTTTCTTGCCTTGCTATAATTTGGCTTCATACTTACACAAAGTAATGCTTTTCAAAAAACACCTTTTTTCTTAAAGTAGTGGTGCCCTGTCTTCAAATGAAATCTTACATGAAACTCCCAAATATGTAACAGGTAAGGGCACCTTATAGATGAAGGTGACTGAAACAAAGGTGCAGCCTGGTTCACTTAGCTTCCTTCTCATCCCTGAGGAACAGCCTTCCATTCTAACCCAGTCTGAATACTACTGTTTTAAGGGAAATTTTTATCAAAGATGCTTATTATCTGCCCCAAATAAATATGACATTTCACCATCACCACCAACCTTACAGTCTATGGCCTATAATGATAATGTACCGTGTTACATACAATCAGTTCCTGTTATTTGGGGTAGTTATGTTCTATAAAGTCACTGCAACCAGTTAATTAGTGAATACTGAACCACTGCTCCTAAGGGAAACACAGGTTAAGTTCCTGCGAGCCTCTGGTCACAACATTTTTGTCAACCGATCAAGATACAATCTTGTTTTATGTGTGTAAAACAATAAAACAAACAAATACAAATAAAACAAAAATACAAAAAAACAAAAAATAAAACAAATATAATATATATTGATTCATTAACACTGAGCGCACAGCCAACAGCACTGTAACTCATCCTGAATGAATGAATTATCTCATACACATATTTTCTCTGTAAGGAACATCGAAGCCTTCTTGTCCTTAGGAACACTAGACAGTATTAAGAATTACACTTGGAGGCCATTTTAAACAGTGATATCACCAAAAAACCCCATAAAAATGTGAAAAATATGGCACTAAATAGACTGAAAAGGACACTTGTTTACAGTATGAGAGCTGAAACAAGAAGGCAAAGCGTCACCTTGTTCCACCTTACACTGGGAACATGTGCGTAAGGGGACTCAAATTTTTTTGTCACCCTGAGCATGTGTGCAAATGACCATGAAAGCGCCATGAGTACTGATTTTGGGGTTACAAATAAACTTTAGCAAGTACATGAATTTGCAAATAGAGAATCTGCAAATAAGGAGGATAGATGATATAGTGGAATTTCAAATTAATAGTAGTGGTTTTTACATTTTAAAAAATTTGAATCTGAGAATTGCTAAAGGCTTATAAGAGGACTGCTTTTGTTCCCTAGTGCTTGGGCAGGAGTGTATTAAAAGGTCAGTATAAAAAGGTTCAAAGGCGGGTTTAACTCGGTATTTTTATATACTTAAAAATGTAACAGAACAACTTTGTAAATGTACTAAAACCATCGACTTGAACACTTTAAACAGGTGAACTTTACGATATGTAAATAATATCTAAAGAAAGCTGTTAAAAAATGACAAGAAAGGGAAACTTGTATTTAATTTTTATATTTAAAATTTTTTGATTTGGGTTCACTGTATAAACGAACACAATAGTCTATGAGGGAAGACACAGGAGGGTGGGCTAACCCCAGACATAAAGGACTGCTATAGAATCATAAGCTTCCAAAGTTGAAAGCCTACCTCCTATATAGGATGCTTCCATTTCCTCTGCAGTATCCCCAGTTGGAGGCCATTCAAAAGTATTATTTCTCCTTTACCTTCCACAAAATTTTAAAATAAATACATTTTTGGGTAGTCATATATTTTTTTATTGAGGCAAAATTCACATAACATAAAACTCACCATTTTAACCATTTTAAAGTGTACAATTCATTGGCTTTTAGTACATTTACAATGTTGTGCACTCATCACGACTATTTAATTCCAGAACATTTTCATCAACAATATGCTTTTGTAACACTGTAATTATTAAATGAAAAATTTCATTTTAATATGTCCATAAACCAGTCAACATATACCATTAAGTACATAGAAAGATAACACTAAAAGTATCTTTTTAAAGTCGTAAAATGAAATTTTCTGGCATATTTATTTCTAACAAAGTACACTCTCTCCACTAAGAGATTTTACCGATTGTAAAAATTTCTTTTTTCACCAGGCAATAGTGGCTATTGTCAAGACTGATGTGCAGCACGCATTTCAGCAAGTGTTCGGGTAAAGCTGACTGTGCAAGCTAATTTTCTGAGCTTACCTCTGTCTGCTATTCTTTTCATCAACTGATGCTCACCCCATTTAATCAGATATTTAAGGATATCTTGTTCACTTGCCTATAATAAAAAATGGTTTATATTTATTTTAGTGAAATTAGATAAATGGTTAATTTCATTAATGACTTTTCCTAGGTCATAAGGTGAATACAGTGTGCAACTTACCAGGTTCCACTCTTTAAACCAGCCTGTGTGAAATGTGTTAGTTAACCCTGTGGTCCATCAACAGCAAATACACAAGACCGCATTCCATGTGTTTTGTCCAATAACCTCTCTTGGCTCCAACCATATTTTTTATTCTTACTTTCATCTTTATTTTTTCTTTATCCTTTTCTCTTCACCTATTTTAAATTTATTTTATCTTACTACATGGCCTCTACACAACTGCCTTAAATTCTTTTTGGGACAAGATGGAGATAATTAAATGAAAGTAGAAGTATATGGATAGAGAGTGACTACTATCTCCTGCAGGAACAGAAAAAGTAAGTATGGCAACTTGTTCAGGCAGAAGAGAGTACAATCTCCACGAGGTAAGCTACTGGCTGGGGAAAGACCTTTCAAGCCCAAACTGTGAAGTGGCAATGTGCCCCTCATTTCTTTGTACTTTAAAATCTTACAGCAAATCTAGGCTGCTCTCCAAGGTTTTTACTTTCTAAGAAGAAACACAAAGCTTCTAAAGACAATAATCTGAGAGAACTGACAAATCCTATCTCCCATAATGCACACAGTCTGGATCAGGACAGTGAAACAAGGTTAACAAACACAGATCCTAAATAAATCAAATCCAATTATGACAACATTTGTACTGCAATCAAAGCAATGTATGAAGGAAAAGCACAGATGCTAAGTGGATTATTGACTCTTCACGGCATTTCTGACTGAGATGGAAGCATTTCATAATTTTTCTAGTACAAATATAAAGAAATGGGAGATGGCTCAATGGGTTTATGTCTTCTTAACATTAAAATAGTTGTATAGTTTTCATCATAAAATTCATACTACCAATGCAAAAAAATTTATTAAATTTGAACATACTTTGCCTGCAAGTATTTTTTGCAGTATTTTCAATCTATTGTTAGTTTAAATTACCAGACTAGATTGACATATAAGTCAAGGACACAACGATTTGCTAAAAACTACTTCTGGTTAAAAATAAGTAGTTGAAAACATTCTTATACTTTGGCAGGACACATATACTGAGTTTTCATAAGCATTTGAGTAGATCAGAAAGTGAATATTATTTTTACTTTGTGTTGCTTAAGCTACTATCTACAGTCTAAGTATCTGATACTCCACCAAAAATAAGAAACTGTTATAGTGAATCTACTACTAATGGAAGCCAAGAAAATCACTGGTGGGATATGCTTCTGACCTTGCCTATTGCCTCAACCCCTCTGGCGTAGTTGCTTAGGACCTGGGCTTGTTCACAATGTTCAGTCATAGCAGCAGTGTGCACAAACGGCCAGAGAGCCAGAAGGCTTTTGTTGTACAAATTTGAAGAGGACATTCCTGGGTGGGTTGGTCTCCCTAAATGGGAGAATAATAGAGTACAGATGGGTGCACATATGGATGACAATGAATTTGAGAGGTGAATAAATGATTACCTGTAGGTAGTCAGACTGGATAGCAGTAAGCAGATGGTCTTTGCTGAGTTCATAAAAAACATCCGAAGTCATGACCTGGGAAAATTCCTCACAGAGGAAATGTAAAGCTTGTCGGTGCACCCATTTAGAGCCATATGGATGAGAGCTCCACTTGAGGATGGCAATTAAGGTATCTAATGAGATGCTCTCAGCAATGATATCCTCACAGCCTAAAAGAGAAGGCAAATACTTCTTAAGATTAATCGTAAATATTACTTATTGAATATTAGTGTATTAGACACTATACTTAAAAGTAGCAATAGTAAAAAAGAACAAGGAGATAAATAAAATCTCATGGAAATCACTAGGACTTGGTGGGATGGGGTAACAATAGGTAACAATAGACTATGACAGCTACAGGAAATCTGCTGTCCCACAGAGACAGATCCATAGAAAAAGGCAGGGAATCCTCACAATTGTTTAAGAAAATAAATATCTACGTGCAAATCCAACAATTTGAATAAGACACTGTAGTGGAGAGCACTGGACAAAAAGGGAAAGAAGAGTAAGTAGAAATGATACAGTTGTGGGAAGTGGTCAGTCAGAGGAAGGATATGGATGACACTTGACTGGTAAGAGAATCCACACTTGAGAAGACAGGTGGGCTATCTTCTATGAACTAGGACAACTGTTCTTTGCATAATTCTAATAAAAAAAATACCAGCTTGCATTGTTGATAGTTTAAATCCCTCAGGATACACAAAATAGTGTAGTTTTATGCTCATTTGGGATTAATTCTGGTGAATTAAAAATAAATAAGTCGTTTAAGTGAAAAGGACCAGGATCCTGGAGAAAGTGACTATGGCACCTTAAGAGCTCAAAGAAGAGAAGAAAATCTGAGGAAAGTCTGCTATTTTCCTTAGGAAAGATCATTTCAAAATATAAATATAAACTATAAGTAAAATCTGAATGACAAAGACTGTGGAAGGGAAAATGGCTAACGTTGGACAGAAATTCTTCATAACTAAGTTTACTATAAAATAAAAAAGAACCCTGATAATGTGGGGGGGGGGGAAGAGGTGTTTAAACACCACCACCAACATCACCAACAAAAATGTGGCAAAACAGGCAGCTCTCTAATGAGCTCAGAGCTTTAAGAGATAGAGCCAAAAGAAAGGGCATCAATGAACTCCTGAGACTTCCAAAGTTCAGTTATTGTGAAAGCATGAAAGGTGAAAAGAGAAAGGTAATGAATCCCATATTCAGGTGATATAAGCTCATTAGTAGCCAATATAGAGTCTGCAGAAAGTAATGCTTCATTCCCTTTTCTGATAATGGTACCAGATAAGGAGCATATCATAGAGAAAAGTGTAACCTGAGTTCTGAAAAGCATTTAACAAAATACCTGATTTATGCAAAGCATTTAACAAAATACTTCATGATGTCTCTAGATTGTTAGCTCCACAAGACAGGGACTGCTGTCTTCACTGTAACTCTAGCACCTTCTTGCACATGGTAGGTGCTAAATAAAAATTGGTTAAATCTACAAATGAGATCTTGGCAGATAAGATGAAGAGATATAGATGGATGACAGAACAGTGTTTAACAGAACCATTTGTAAGTAGCACTGATTAACTCAGGGGAGGGTGTGGGGAGTCTCTGTGTTTGTGATGTTTATCAAGAACTCGAGTGAAGATGTGGAAAGTATGCTTCAATACCTCCAAACGACCCAACTGGGAAACACAGTTAACAACACACTGGATAACATGATCATAATTGGCTAAAAAGATGGGTCAAAATGAAGCTGAAATATAACTAGGAAAATTAGAAAGTTCTATATTTAAATTAAAGAAAATCAACTGTACAATAGATGATAGAGGAGAGCTAGCTTAACTACCACACATGTAAAAATAATATCTGGGTATTTTAACTGAACAAATGCAAAATGTGACATGACTGCTATAAAGCTGAAGCAACCTCAGGCTTTTAAGATACAAGCGTAGAGTCCTAATCAAAGGAATAATGTTGCACTGCTCTCCTGTGGGGTGCTGTGTTTTGTTCTGGGCCCTGTGTCGTAGATGGGGCACTGACAAAACTCCAGAATTCTCAGAGGAGGGCAAAGGAACAGTAGAGAGTTTGAGATCTGTCACAGGAGAAAAGCTCCGAGTGAACAAGATTATTTGGCTTTTGTAAGAGAAACCTGAGGAGAGACATAAGAGCTATCTTTAAGTGTCTAATGGACCTTCATGAGAAATGAAGACGAGAAATTACTGAATTCTCTGTTGTTCCAAAGGCAATTCCTGGGAAACAAATGGATGTTAAAAGAAGGGAGATTTTGACTCAATATTAAGAAATTTCTTTCTTTCTTTTTTTTTTTGTGAGGAAGATCAGCCCTGAGCTAACATCCATGCTAATCCTCCTGTTTTTTTTTTTTTTTGCTGAGGAAGACCGGCTCTGAGTTAACATCTATTGCCAGTCCTCCTCCTTCCCCCCACCCCAAAGCCCCAGTAGATAGTTGTACGTTGTAGTTGCACATCCTTCTAGTTGCTGTATGTGGGACGCGGCCTCAGCATGGCCGGAGAAGCAGCGCGACGGTGCACGCCCGGGATCCGAACCTGGGCCACCAGTAGCAGAGCGCGCACACTTAACCGCTAAGCCACAGGGCCGGCCCTCACTATTAAGAAATTTCTAACAATTAGAATTGCACTCCCCTCATCCCCTGAAGAAAAGGATCCCTCTGGAAAAATGTAGGAGCAAAGGCTGGCTCATCACATCAGGGAAAGAGTTCAAAGAACCCCTACACTGGACATGGAACTAAGGCCAGATGACATCCAAGCTGCTTCCATCACGAAGATAAAATCATTTTTAGGAAAACGGTAACTGAGTAAACATAAGAGTAATTATATCTAAAGATTAATTAATTAATTTATTTTTTTTTAAAGATTTTATTTATTTATTTTTTCCCCCCAAAGCCCCAGTAGATAGTTGTGTGTCACAGCTGCACATCCTTCTAGTTGCTGTGTGTGGGACGCGGCCTCAGCATGGCCGGAGAAGCAGCGCGACGGTGCGCGCCCGGGATCCGAACCCGGGCCGCCAGCACTGGAGCGCGCTCACTTAACCACCCAGCCACGGGGCCGGCCCAAGATTAATTTATTTAAACATTAAAATGAGATCCCTCTAAGGAACACTGAGACCACCACAATGAAATCTGCATGTAAACAACACCCAAAGGCATGACTATGTGCTGATGAGAAGTGGGAATATGAAAAAGCACTGAACAGTTCTTGAGATTTTACGGAGAGCCCTGAATGCCAAGCTGAGGAGGACAGGCTTCACCCAGGCGCTAGTGGAGGACTCTGTCAGTCTATTGTTTTAAAGGAGGCATTGGAGTACAGTTGAGTAGGATGAGTCAATCTGACAGGAAAGGCAATCTGAGAGACATGTTGGGGAATGAAGCAGGGGAAAACAGAGAAAAAGTGGCTATTTAAAAGGATGTATCACAATCCTACTAAACCAGGATACTGGCAGAGGTAAAGAAAGAGAATTAATGATAACATCATATATTTAAACTTCTGAGGTTTACAAAGAAGTGAGACATGGTAGGAAAAAATGGGCTTTGAAATCAGACAGATTGGACTTGAAATCCCACCCTAGCCACTTAGCAGCAAAGTCACTTTGGGCAAATCACTTAACCTCCTTGAGCCGGAACTGCTCTCATTTGTAAAATTGGGATTATACTCCTAACTCAGGGGTTATGAGATTTAAATGAGGCTGTACCCTTGACACTCTTCATTCATTCAAACATTCTGGAGTACCGACTTGCCAAGCGCTGTGAATACACAGCTCTTTACCACTCACTTCCCTGGGTGAGGTCATCTGCCCCCAGGGCCTTAACTCCCTCTGCATCCTCACAACTTTCAAGTCTACAGTTCCACCCCAGAGCTCTCTCCCGACTCCAAGACGCATTCCTTAAACTTCCCATTGGAGAGTTCCACATGGATATTCTGCAGACATCTTAAATCCCAAAGTCAGTTTGTTTTCTTTGGGAAGTCTAGTACCTACCTTCTTAATCCCTGCTTTAGAGAAGGGTATCTCATTTCTCCGAAGTCACCAAAACCAGAAATCTGAGTACTATTATTGATTCTTTCTCCCGAAGCCCACATCCAATCTACCATCAAATGCTGTTCATTCTGTTCTTATTTTAAATCCATCCCCTCCACCGAATCTCCAAAACCTCCATTTCAGAATCTGATACTTTCTCCCCGCATTATTGAAATAGCCTAAAAAAAATTTCCATCTCCAGTCTTTCTCCCTTCCAATCAGTTCTCCATACTGTTGCCAGAACGATCTTTTAAAATGCAAATTAGATTATATATGTAACAAATTATTCAATAGCTTGCAAATGACTTCAAAATAAAACCCAAACTACATATTCTTGATGGTCTGGCCCCTGCCAACCTCTCCAGGCCCATCCTTGCTCATCTTCTACACTCTAATCATACTGCATTACTTGTAATTTCCTAGAATTCCACCAAACTCTGTCACACCTCCAGGCCTTTGCACATGTTGTTCTGAAAAGCTCTTAATTCTCCTTCTTAACTCCTCCACATCTAGACTCAGCCTAGAAGTTTCCTCTTTCAAAAGCCAACCTTGATCCTGCTCCCCAAAGCCTGGGTCAGCTGTTTCTCTACCTAAAAGTATTCATGGTGCCCTGTGTCACTCTCTATAATAGCATTAACTCTCGTTCTATTTTATCCAGCTGATATATTTGTCTGAATCCTCTACCAGACTGAGAGCTCCTTTTGGATAGAGGCCCCACCTTATCTCTGATTCTACAGTGCCTGAAACCTAGTAGGTAATTAAAAACAAACGTAATAGCTAGTATTTTGAAACTTATTATGTGCCAAGCTCTGTACTTAGAATATTTAATTCTAGCACTTCTTCTCAAAGAAGGTGGTATTATTATTATTACCATTTTACAGATGAGAAAACCGAGACTCACAAAGATTAACTAACTTATCCAAGGTCATGCAGCTAGGAAAAAGACAAGTCATACTTAACATATTCTTCCCTTCCCTCCTAAAAATCCCACACACACCCCCACCTACCCCTTATGCCTCTAAACTTAGGTCTTATACTAGTCAATCCTCATCAGAACTTCTTCACTTAGAACCACTTCTCTCATGAACAGAAAAGCATGTTATAAATACACCAGACATGGTGATACTCA